GCATTTTTCCTTCGGCGAGGACCATCGAGGAGCATCCTTGATCATTTGGCGAAGCAGCCACGCACGAAACCGAAAAAAGCACAGGGAATGGACGTCCGAGCCATGGCCAGCTCGGGGGTCCGCGGGCGCGCCCCCGCGCGCCAGCGAGGGGAGGGGGCCAGCACAGGCCAAAGAAGTTCCCGCGGACCTCCGAAGGGTCATGCTTACAGCGGAGACCCATGCCAAGAAGCACCCGGCTTGCCTCCAGGGTGCCCTGGGTTTCTTGGATCTCGGTGGTTTTGCGATGGGGAGCGCGACGTTCCCACACCAGAAGATCCATGGACGTCCTGGGGTCTCCGGGTTGGGTTTCTTGTGGAAGGGCCCTACTGTATGCAGTTCTTTCTTCCTTCAACCATGTCTGCCCACGCGCAGCAGCACGAAGTCCTGGAGCTTTCCAGTGGACACCAGCAGCGTGCGCTACCGGGGGGAGCTGTCCCCGGGGGACATGAACGAGTGCTACTACAGGAACGGCGTCGACTTCTCCGGGCTCAAACCAGAGAGTTCGACCACAGTTCCAACCGTGTATGACTGTCAGGACTTGTGCCGGGACTCTGCACCCTGCGCAATATTTCGATTTGATCCACTCTGTTCAACCAGCGCTGCTTGCCGAGTTTGCTCTCTGTACAACGAACTGCCGAGCGACATGACGCAGTCGGCCGGCTCTGGGATCGTCAGCGGTCCGCCCCGCTGGCCCGAGTACTGCGACCAGTCCAGGTTTCTCGTGCGGGCGCAGTTCACCTTCGGCGCCCCAGCCGCCACCTACCCCGCTCTCTCTAACCCCGGCGGCGCCTGCATCGCTGGCATGCGAATCTTCACCGAGAACGAGCCTCTCCCAGGCGGGGGTATTGGAACGCAGGACGACGCCGCAACGATGATCTTGGCCTACGAGCACCCGGTCATGGGGTACCTGGTCCTCCACGAGCCAAGTGCGAGGAGCCACTACCACAAGTGCCATGGCAGCCGGGGCAACCAGCTTATTCCGAGCAACGGTCACGCCGCTGTCTACCAAGACTGGGCCGTGCACAGCATAGACGGAGTGTACGAACCGCGGCTGAAACACATAAATGTGACGGATGGGTTTCGGCATGATGCTTCAGTCCTCCTTGATTTCTTGCCCTTTGTCTCCACTATGGCCTTCATGACATACTGGAAGGACCAGGCCGCCATTGAAAAAGGCCTGAAAATGAAAGACTGGAACCTCGTAGGCTACGCAGCTGTTCATGGCAAGTCAGACGACATCGACCGCGTGTTGGTGATGCAGCACAAGACTGCGCTCGAGTGCACGATCATGTTCCAGGGCTCCATGCAGGCCCCAGATTTCTTTAGCTTCTGGCTGGTCGAGGGCACCGGCTACTGCGGCTTCATGAACTCGATGATCGGGCTGCGGAACGAGCTGTGGTGGATCACGAACGACAGCCAGTACCAGAACTCGATCAAGCCCGCTCTGAGACAGTGCAAGGCCGTCACGTGCGCTGGCCACTCTCTGGGCGGGGTCCTCTGCGACCTCTTCACCGCCTGCGCGAACAGCGGGCGCCGGGGGGACCCAGACTACGAGCTGCTGAGCTGGGACCCGCAGCCGCTGCTGGGCGGTCCCATGCCCGTCTACGACTTCGCGCTGTTCAACAGCTCGGAGGCCGAATGGGCGGCAAAGCTCGAAGGAGAAACAGCTGCACTTTTTCGGGTCCCATACACAAACCGTGCGGAGGTCCACGGGCTCCTCGGAGCCCCGCCCGGGCCACCCTCCCTGGCGCGCGGGGACCGCGCAGGGGCTGGCACCGGCGGCGCCGCCAAATCCAAGGAATTCGCGCCGACCTCCGAGAGTTTCCCGGAGATCTTCCCAGGCATGCTCGCGTCCTGAGAAAGATCAGGACGGGAGGGTCTTGTTCCTGGTAGTTCTAGGCCTCGGGGGGCCCTCGCTGGCCCTGGGACCGTCAAAAAACAACGCGGGATGAAAAACTGCCCCCGGGGACAAAGTAGGGGTTTCTGGGGACCCCCTATTGAGAATGTCGGGACATGTCTGGGCTACCAGGTGGCACAGTTACAACATCGCGAAGCATCACGACTGGAGCCACAGGCCAGACCCTTCTGCGCCACTCTCGGAGGCACACGGACCTGCGGTGGCCCAGGGGCCCGACCCTTTCGCGAAGTCTTATGTTTTGGTGGACAAGATGTAACGCCCAGATCTCAGGGTTGTGCTCTTCCTCTTCCTGCTGCTCCCCCTCCTCCTCCTCCTCCTCCTCCTCCAGCTCGTCGTCGTCGCCGTCGTCGCCATTGTCGCCGTCGTCGTCGCCGCCGTTGTTGTCGTTGTCGTCGTCGTCGTCGTCGTCGCCGTCGTTTTCGTTTTCGTTTTCGTTTTCGTCGTCGTCGTCGTCGTCGTCGCCTCCATCCTCGACCTTTCTCCTGCTCGCCCTGCCGCGTGGAGGCCCCCCCCCCCAAAGGGGGGAGCGGCGCGGCCGCTGGGCGCCGCATCGCCAGAGCCTTTCTCGACCCGCGCCTGGCTGCGATCCTCCCCCCGCTCCGCTCGAGCCTCGAGCCTCGAGCCTCGATCCCCCCCTCGAGTCTCGATCCTCCCCCCTCGAGTCTCGATAACTACAAGTGGCACGCGTGCCATGGCTCTTGCACAGAAGGGGGGGGGGGAAGGACGAGAAGGTGAAGGAGGAGGACGGGGAAGGGATATAGGGTACGAAAAATCGGAGAAGGATGACCCAACAAGGGCCGCAAGATGGGTTTGACAGGGCGAGCTCGAGGATGCTCCAAGGGCCCTCCCCCGCGAGAGGGCCTCCAAGATTTCCAACATGCTCCCAGGAGCTCTCCAACAAACACCTGAAAAGTCTACAGAGGATCCGAAGAACTCACCGGGGGCCCGAAACGGATGCGGAGGGGGCACGGGGTGGGTGGGGGTTCCACTGGGCCACTGGGGAACGCTGGGGAAAGGGGGGATGTGTGGCGGAGGCGGGGCGCGCCGTGCGACGCGTAGTAAAATGGTGGGGCGGAGGGGGGCATTGGGCGGAGGTTCCGTTGGGCCGGTGGGGAACGCTGGGGAGAGAAGGGGTGGGAGGCGGGGAGGAGGGGTGCGGTGCGACGCCGAATGAAAATGTCGGGGCGGAGGGGGCACCGGCGCAAGTTCCTTGGGGCCGCTGGGGAACGCTGGGAATGGGACAAGGGGGCGGGGAGGGGGGTGCGGTGCGACGTGGAAGAAGTTTTGTTAGGGGCTGAGGGAGCACTGGGCGGGTGGAGGCTCCAGTTGGTCGCCGAGGAGCGCCGGGGCGGGTTGGCGTGGGGTGCGGGGGAGGTGAGGGGAGAAGAGGCGCTGAACAAGATCACCAGGATCCACGAAGAGTTAGGTCGGGCACGTCCCTCGACAGGAGACATCTTCGAGAATAGTCAAAACTAGTCAGGAGACAATTTTTCTCAACCATCCTGTGGTGTTGGGTCCTCGTTTTGAAATAGCGGCCTCGCGGGGTGGGGTGCGACGCCATTGGGCCGCGGGGGAACGCTGGGGAGGGGTAGGAGGGGTGCGGGGAAGGGGGGTGCGGTGGGACGCGGAATAAAATGGTCGGGGCGGAGGAGGCACTCTGCGAAAGTTCCACTGGGCCCGCTGGGGAACGATGGGGGGGGGTAGGGTGGGGGCGGGGACGGGGGAGGGGGGTGCGGCGCGACGCGGCATAATGTGGTCGAGGCGGAGGGGACACTTGGCGGAGGTTCCGCTGGGCCGCTGGGGGACGCTGGGGAGGGGCATGAGGGGGGCGGGGAGGGGGGGGCGCGGTGCGGTGCGGCGCGGAATATAATGGTCGGGGCGGAGGGGGCACTGGGCGGAGGTTCCACTAGGCCGCTGGGGAACGTTGAGGAGAGATAGGACGGGGGAGAGGTGCGGTGCGACGCATATTAAAGTGGTCGGGCGTGGCGGAAAGGGGCATTGGGCGGGGGTTCCACTGTGCCGCTGGGGATCCGCTGGGGACGGGTAGGAGGGGTGCGAAGACGGGGGGTGCGGTGCGACGTGTAATAGAATTGTCGGGGTGGAGGGGTGCACTCGGCGGAGGTTCCACTGGGCCGCTGGGGGATGCTGGGGAGGGGCAGGAGGGGGGCGGCGAGGGGGAGGGCGGTTCGACACGGAATAAAGTGGTCGAGGTGGAGGGGGCGTTGGTTGGAGGTTCCATTGGGCTGCCGGGGAACGCTGGGGAAGGGTAGTGTGTGTGTGTGTGTGTGTGTGTGGTGTGTGTGTGTGTGTGGTGGTGTGTGTGGTGTGTGTGTGTGTGTGGTGTGTGTGGTGTGTGTGTGTGTGTTGTGTGTGTGTGTGTGTGGAGGGAGGGGGGGAATGCGGTGCGACTCGGAACGAAGTAAGTGGTCGGGACAGAGGGGGCATTGGGCTGACAGCGGCTGAGGTTCCATTGTCCCGCTGGGGAACGCTGGGGAGGGGCAGGGGGGCGGCGGGGAGGGGGGGGGGCGCGGTGCGACGCGGAATGAAGTTGTCTGGGCGGAGGGGGCACTGGGCGGAGGTTCCACTGTGCCGCTGAGGAGGGGTAGGAGGGGTGCGGGGACGGGGGGCGCGGTGCGACGCGGAATAAAGTGGTAGTGGTCGGGGCGGAGGTGGGCACTGGGCTGAGGTTCCATTGGGCCGTTGGGGAACGCTTGGGGGGGGCAGGGGAGACGTGGGGAGGGTGCGGGGTGCGGTGCGACGCGGAAGAAAGTGGTCGGAGTTCTAGACACCTTGTGCAAGAGAATCCTCCCGGTCCGCACTTTCCTCGAGCCTCGAGTCTCGATGCGCCCGCCCCCCCCCCTCGAGCCTCGATCCTCCTCGCTCTGCTCGGCCCCCGAGCCTGCAGCAGCCTGCAGTCCGACGCGGGCCCGGCGCAACTCCGACGTGCATCGGCGCAAACTGGGCCTCTCGGGTTGCCCGGCGAGGCCCCCCGTGCTTTCCTCCCAAGGATTCCGCCTGTGCAGCTCTTCCTCCTTCCTGCCAGCGCACGGCGCCCCTCCCGCCGGCGGCCCCCGCTCCGGCGGGCGGCCCGGCGGCCCCGGCGACCACCACGCCGGCGGCCGGCGGCGAGGCCGCCGCCAGCGTGCGGCTGGCCGACGCCGCCGCGGGCGCGGGAGCCGCCGTGCTCGGAGTCGCCGCGCCGACAGGACGCCGAATCTGCAACGTGTTAGGTCGGGCGTGTCCGCCTACAGGCAGATGTTGGAGGACAAATGCAAACATACGAACACAGAAACAACAAAGAATGAAACAATAGTCCAACAATCGCCCCCAGACTATTTTTGACTACTTTTGAAGATTCCTCCTGTAGGGGGGCAGGCCCGCCTTAAGCGAAGTGGTGGCTGTGGCGTTGGCGGGGTGTGCAAGAGCATCGGGTGAGGTGCCCCTGGCCCAGTCTTTCGCCCCATTTTTCAGCGAGCGAAGAACGGTATAACATAAACTTTTTCCTGTCGGGGGCGCCTGTCCCTGGGCGGCTGGACAGTTTATACCCCTACGGTGCCACCGTAAGGGTACAAACTTTCCAGCCGCCCTGGGACAGGCGCCCCCGGCAGCGAAAAGTTAATTTTATACCGTTCTTCGCCCGTTAAATTTTGGTGCCCCCCTGGGGCCTGGGGCCCTCTGGGCCTTGCGATGGGGTGGCGTGGATGCCGCGGGGGCCTCCCTGGAGAGGAGGAGGAGGAGGAGGAGAGGAGGAGGAGGAGGAGGGAGGAGGAGGAGGACCCTGGGGGCACCCCAGGCAAGGGGGGCACCCGTGGCAGCGCCCGGAAGCCGTGTGGACCTTCGAGCTCCGAGGCGGGGGTGCACCCGTGAGCACCGCAGGGAGGGGGATCGATCTTCGGGCACCTCGGCGGGCGGCGGATGTGGACATCTACTTCAGATTCCATCATAAAGTGGGGGGGTCACATTTTGGGGGGGTCACATTTGAGCTGTCTTGAGGGTTCGGGGGGGGGGTCTGGACAAATGGCCGCCCTTTCATGGATGGTCTGGGTGGGCCTAAAACTTCTCGTCTGGGAGGGTTGTGACCCCCTCCCTTTTATTACGAAATCTGGAGTATCTAGGGGAACAAAAAGTGACATAAACATAACAACTCGGAGGTCCGCGCGGATTTCTCGGATCCGTGCTGGACCCCCTGGCGGCGCCTCCGGCGCCGCCCCTGGCGCGCTCCGCGCGCCAGGGAGGTGGGTCCAGCGCCGATCCGAGAAATCCGCGCGGACCTCAGAGTTTTTATGTTTGTGTTACTTGTGGTTCCCCTAATATCTTCGTGCACCCCCTGGGGCCAACGCATTTCCATGTGCACCGCCGGCTGGGGGCCCCGGGCTGCGGGTATGAACGCATCCCCGTCTGTCAGTCATTCCCGAGTGGCGGCTGGCGGGGCGGGGTTCCTGTGTGGACCGCCTGCATCGCCGGCCAACCACAATGCACTTTCGGTGGAAGCCCATGCCAAGAACTACCCTGATCGCCCCCAGGGTGCCCTGGGTTTCTTGGAACTCGATGGCGCTCCAATAGAAGCCGTTGCGTCCCCCCTGCCAAGAATGAGTGGACATCCTGGGGCTCAGGGTCGGGTTTTTTGTGGAAGGTCTCTTGTGCTCGAGTAGGGGGCCACATGCGAACCCTTCCCTACCCCCCACGATTTCTGAGGGGGTGGGGTACACTTCGCTCGGGAGCTCCTGCACGAAGTGAACCCCTCCCTCCCCCTCAGAAATCGTGGGGGTAGCAGAAGGGTTCGCATGTGGCCCCCTGTCGAGCCCCTACTGTCTACTGTGCCGAGTGGTGGTGAGGCCTGTTTCCGTATCTTCTGAGCGCACAAGCAAGCAGCAGTAATCATTATCGCACTAACCGCCAAGGCTCATGGCGCCAACATCGCAGAGCACGATGGGATTGGCCCGGAGAGTCCTGGAGAATTTCGTTCCGGATTTCGAGGTGAATTTCGTGTGGATTTTTTAGGTCAGGAACGAAGACCAACAAAGAGTCCACGCGAAATTCACTTCGTTTTTCGCTTGCCGTTTCGGGCAACAGTCCACGCAAGAATCCGCGCAGAAATCCGCTGCAGCGTGTCTGCAAGGCCGGTGCAATGTCAGATGTTGATGACCTCCTACTCTAGATTTCATGATAAAGGGAGGGGGGTCTCATTTCGGGGGGGGTCTCTTCCAGGCTATCTTGGAGGGCCTGGGGGGTCTGGGGACGATGTTTTGGAGGGTTCTCCCACGGGGGAGGTCTGAAATGGCTTGTCTTGGAGGGTCCAGACCCCCTCCCTTTTACTACGAAATCTGGAGTACCCTGATACGTCGTTTAAGGAATTGGGCGTTTTCGCTTCGCGAGAGGGCGTCGCGGCCGTCACTTTGGCGGGTCCAGGTCCGTCGGTTTCGGTCCCAGACCGTTCTCACTAAGGGGAGGTTTACTAAAGGGAGGTTTGTCCACCGCCGAATCCAGGCCCATGAGAGACTCTTCAGGACTGAGGACTGACGCGCAGAGGATGAGGAGGAGGAGGAGGAGGAGGAGAGAGGAGAGGAGGAGGAGGAGGAGGAGGAGGAGGAGGAGGAGGAGGAGGAGGGAGGAGGAGGAGGAGGAGGAGAGGAGGAGGAGGAGGAGGAGGAGGAGAGGAGGAGGAGGAGGAGGAGGAGGAGGAGGAGGAGGAGGAGGAGGAGGAGGAGGCGGAGGTTTGTCCACCGCCGACCCTCCACAGGACAGGGCCGCCTCCCGTGGATCGCAGGAGCCGCCGCGGGGCAGCCAGGGGAAGCGCTGCGGGGGGGGCATTCGGGGCTCGATAGCGCGGTTCCGGGGGGGAGCAGACGTACAGGCACAACCCAGAATCGTCGGCTCCCAGGAAAGTAAGGGAACATATGGGAAGGGGGGGGGAGGAAAACGAAGCTCCAGAGGAGAAGATGTGGGGAGTATTGGTGCTTGTGCGCATTTGGTTGTGTGTCCCTGGGGCCCCTTCATCGGTGGTTTTCCAGCCTCGGGATCGTTCCAGGGGTGTCGGGAGTGCCCCGAACGGCCACGCCGGAGAGGAGAGCTACGGCCCGCATCGGGGGCGGCCAAGAGAGGGGGGTGGTGACTAGGGGTGGGTGGATCTCCTGGCGGGGGCCATGATGCCTCCCAAGACTTCATGGCGCCTCTTCTTCTGCCAACCTGCTCCCTGGCCCCCCCCCCTGGTCCGCGCACGTGCCCCGGACCATGATTGGCCCACCCCCCCCCTCTGGTCCGCGCACGTGCCCCGGACCATGATTTGCACGTGCCTCTTCTTCTGCCAGCCTGCTCCCTGGCCCCCCCCCTGGCCCGCGCACGTTCCCCGGACCATGATTGGCCCCCCCCCCCCCTCGTGGCCCGACCGGACGCCAGGGGGCAGCGTCAGGCGGGGCGGGCTCGGGGCGGGGCCCCGCGACCGCGCACTCCAGCGCCGAGGGGGGCCCCCCGGGGCCCACCCCCTCGGCCCAGGAGCGCGCAGCTTCGCCATCGGGGGCCCATCTTGCCGATGCGTCGGCGGGAGGAGGAGGAGGAGGGGGAGGACGAGGAGGAGGAGGAGGAGGGGGAGGACGAAGAGGAGGAGGAGGAGGAGGAGGAGGAGGAGGAGGAGGAGGAGGAGGGAGGAGGAGGAGGAGGGGAGGAGGAGGAGGGGGAGGAGGAAGAGGACGTCGCCGATTTCCGGGCCGGTGCTTGCCCCCCCTGGGCCGGTCGCCCTCCTGTCACAGAGGACGTTTTTCCGGTGCCAGCCTCAGACTGTAGGCCCAGCGTGTGCCCAACACAGTGTGTTCATGGCAGTCTGTGTTGTGCGATCGGCACCACCATCTACGTGGTGCAAATTCTGTGGTGCCATATCTGTGGTGCAGTACATGTGTTGCAAGGAATAAAGTGCACTCTTTGTTGTGCACACTATGTTGCGCAGTATGTGCTGTGCAATCTATGTGGTGCAGTCTGATTCAAACTATGTGGTGCAGTCTATGTTGTGCAATCTATGTCCGGCAATCTTCAATGTGGTACAAGCTGTGTGGCGCAATCTATGCTGTGCAATCTATGTTGCGTGCAATCCATGTGGTGCAATCTACGTGGTGCAATCTATATCTATGTGGTGCAATTGATTTCTGTTCGCAGTAAGTTGTCAACTCCACTGATCGCGCCATCCTCCCACCCACCCACATGCAGCTTGGTTTGCAAAACGCATGCCTTGGCGATTGCGATGAGTGTTTGGCGTTGGCCGGTTCATCTCTGCGGCCGCGTGGGCGCAAGAACGCGCGCGCAACGGCCAGCTAGTTTGGCGCGACCGACGCGGTGGCGGTGGCGCTGACCACTGGACGCATCCCTGCGGGCACTCCAGTTCGAGTCGGCGACTTCGGCGGGCGCGATATCCTGGCAACGTCGACAAGGGTAGACCTGATGATAATAGTAACGATGCTGGTGGCGATGATGACAACGACGACCGCGCGGCCAGTGCGGGCGCCAACGCTGATCACGCCGACGACGATGACGGCGTCTTCGCGTCGGTGATGAAGGTTTTGGAAAAGAGTTCGACTTGTGCGCGCGGCCGACGCGCGAGAGTGGCCCGCACGGTATTGCTTAACACGGATCGTGCCACCCCAGCACGCGCAAGGGCACGCGAATAATCCCGGCAGGCGGCGCCAGAGGCTCTTTTGGCAGAATTCCATGCACATGTTGAAAAGCCGATGGTTTATTCGAGAATTCGCAAGAGTGCGAACGCACGTTTTTTTGTGTTGTTTGTTGTTGGTTGTTGGTTGTTGGTTGTTGGTTGTTGGTTGTTGGTTGTTGTTGTTGTTGCTGCTGTTGTTGTTGGTTGTTGCTGCTGTTGCTGTTGCTGTTGCTGTTGCTGTTGCTGTTGCTGTTGTTGTTGTTGTTGTTGTTGTTGTTGTTGTTGTTGCTGTTGTGGAAAACTGCTGTGGCGAAGCTCGTTTTGTTGGACACTTGCTTTTGAATTCGCTACGAAGCCAAAGGCTTTTGAAGGATTTCGGCAAGCGCGGGCGACGATGCGCGCGCGTGCACTTCGTCACATCGTTTGCAAACAAGGGTTCTCGCGACGGCACGCGTGCAAGGGCTATCGAACCATGCCGACACGCGCGTGCGAGGTTCGTTTGGTATCATGATGAAGGACCGATGGCTGCCTTTATGAATTCGCAAGAGCGCGCGCAAGTTTTCTGAACATCCGTGTTGCGAAGCCATGTGTTTTGGCTAAACTGTTTTTTTTTGAACAGTCGATCTTGAATTTCCTACGAAGCCGGAGGTGTTTGAAGGATTTCGGCAAGCGTGCAACGAGGTCATACTCTTTGCCAGGGATGTTTCGAATACTGCTGATGTTTGATAAACGGGCTCGCGCGCATATTATTTTTTGGAGGGGATGGCGGCGGGGCGGTTACGGGCCCACGTTCAAATTTAAGGTGGACGATGGGGCAGCATCAGATGCAAATTGCACTACGCAATCGGGAATGGGATAATCCCGGGGAGGGGGGCTGGACTCGATTCTCTTTCTAGAATGAAGAATCTATGCAGTGCAGTTGATTTTAACAGACGAGGTGACACATGCCGTGCTCTTGCAAACATTTCACCCACCCACCCGAAACTTGGGTTTACAAAGCCCGTGCGGTGGCGATTGCGATGCATGCTCGGTGTTGGCGGGTGCATCCCTGCGGCCGCGCAAACCCAAACATGCGCGCAAAGCGGCCAGCTAGTTTGGCGCGGCCGGCACGGCGGTGGTGGCGGTGACCGCTGGGCACATCCCAGCGGGCACTTTAATGCGAGTCGGCGAATTGGGCATTGTACCATGGCAACGTCGACAACGGTAGACACGATGATGATTGTATCGATCTTGGTATGCGGTTGACAACGACGGAGGCGCAGCCAGTGCGGGCGCCGATGCCGATCACGCCGACGACGATGACGGCGTCTTCGCGTCGGTGATGAAGGTTCTGGAAAAGGAGTTCGACTTGTGCGCGTGGCCGACGCGCGAGAGTGGCCCGCATGGTATTACTAATTTGGCACAGATCGTGCATCGTCGTCGGTCCATGCTGTCGCTCTCCGTGTTGCTGCTGTTACAGTGCTCTTGGTAGTTCGTGGGTCTTCGCGCGCAGCAGTGAACCACTCGACGATGTTCTAGATCTTTGTGGTCGCGCTTCGTTGCTCGATAATATCGCTGATCTTGTGGATGCCGCCGTTGGCCATCGTGGCCCAGGCTCCCGAGGTGTCGATGCTGTCGTCGACTAGCGCTTCGAGCTCCTTTGGGCACCGGGTCATGAGGCGTGCGTGCTGACGAAGTCGAAGTTGTCGTATTCGCGCTTCGACCGTCGAAAGTGGTGCCTCTGTGAGGATCTTGAGGTTGGTACTTGCCTCCGCTCTCATTTCGGTGCGGGTGATGCCGATGGCCTGTCGTCGGCGCCACCCCAACACATTTATACTATGTGGGCGTCGCCCCACCCCCCTACACCCCCACCCCTCCCAACATACTTATACTATGTGCTACTGGTGCTCCTGCTGCGGCTTCTCTGCCCCGCTTCCCTCTCCCCTTTGGCTCTCTTCCCCCCCCTTTAGCCACAGGGCGATTTGTTTCGGCTGGTTAAAAGTGAACGCCCCCCCCCCACCCCCAAGGGCGACGCGCGCAGAGAGAACATTTAACCGTATATGCGTCGTGGCGGGCGCTTTGTGGCCACACAGCTCGGTGAACGATGCGCTACACGATGGGCGTGCTACATGTTCGGGTCGGACGCGCGCCTCCAAGGTGGACATGTTGTAGTAGCTTGTCTCTGTGCGTCTCATGCCGTTCAGCTGATAAGTGCGCCGCGTTGATTCTGCTGTGATCGGAGGACTTGGCTATCCATGTCTCAGCGTTGAAGAACAGCTTGGAATATCCGAAAACTTCCAGGCAATGAACTTTGGCGTTTGTATATTCAGCTTATCTTCTGAAGAAAGTTATCCTCATCGGGCCTGTGGTTGCTCCAGTGGAAATCCCTTCGCGATGCAACATCCCGGCTCATATCGCTTCTGTCGTTGAACATCACCCCCAGCTGCTTTGTTGCCCTGTTGATCGTTACCTGCATGCCCATGTCCATGACGCATTTCTTATTGACGATTATGTCTCTCCCGAACTCGCTTGCCTTGCGGGGTGTTCGCGAACGCGATAAAGTTCGATTTGCTGGTATTGATCGGCAGTGGACGCGTGAATGTCGCTGTGATGAGGCGGTCCCGCCTGGCCTGGACGGTCTCCGTTTTTTGTTCGCCCTTGTCCGTTGTCGCTGTAGCGTTTACGTCGTCAACGAAGGATGTTGATGTGTCGATGTGAGTTCTTTCTTCTCCTTGTGTTTCTGCATATATTCTTTGATATTTCAGGGGCCTCCTTCAGACCCGAGGTCCCTGGGAGCCCCGCCAGCTGCTGCTGCTCCGCTGGTGTTCAGGCTCAAAGAATTTCGAGCGCGGAGGCTCTCCCGCGCTCCCGAGGAGGAGAAAACATGGTAGCGGAGCCGTTAGCTGCTCCACGATAGCGGTCCACGGCTTGGCTCTGCTGCGGCAGCAGGGCGTTGGCTGCGGGCTGGGCCCGCGGTGGAGATCGACGTCGACGAAGGCCTGAGGGTGGACAGTTCCGCCAGGACGGGCCTCGCGATGGCGAGCACGATTACGCAGAATGGGACGTATCAGATTGGTTCGCTAAAGGACATCAGAAGCCATGACAGCTTCAGTTGCGGCCAGGATGAGTTCGAGAGGTTCTTTTTCACCTTGGAGCCGGAGGTGACTGAGATGGGGTGGAAGTCGCTCTATGACGCGGCGGTGGGCCACGCATGCCCGATAACTGCAGACGACATCCAGAACGCGGAGACGCTGGAGCTGACCAGGAACTTGAGCACGTTCCTGGCGACGAAGATGCGCGGGCAAGCGCAGGCGATGACTAAGTTGGCTGGTGCTGGCAATGGGTTCGAGGCGCTGCGGCAGATCTATGCTGACTACCGCCCGAGTGGCGGCACTTCGGAGCACAGCCTGCTGACGACGATCGTGCAGCCTAAGTGGTGGACGAGTGGTGATCGATCGAGGCGAAGCTTTGCGGAGGTTCTGCACGACTGGGATCACCTTGTCACGCAGTATGAGCTCGCGAGCCACGACGCGATCAGCGACAGGCCCATATGCGCGACCATATTGGGCTACGCGCCGCTGCAGATCAGGAAGGTGCTCGACGGAGCCAGCCGGGAGGTCAGAGAGAACTATGCGGTGATGCGGGCAAGGGTTCGTGAGCACTGCGTATAGAGAACCGCCGAGGCTTTCGCCCCCAGGCCACCTGAGGCGACGGGGGGGGGAGGCCAGGCGCCGATGCAGGTGGATGCGGTCGGCGAGGTTGACGCGATCGGATTCGACAAGCCGCGCTGCAACCTCTGCAAGACGCTCGGCCACGCTGCCGAGAAGTGCTGGTTCAAGGGCAAAGGTGGCGCCAAGGGCGACTCCAAGGGTGGCAAAGGTGATGGCGGCAAGGGTGGATCGAAGGGCGGACGCGGTGGCAACGCGCCGTCGAATGATAAGGATAAGACATGCCACTACTGCAAGAAGAAAGGCCACATCAAGATCAACTGCTTCAAGTTCAAGCAAGATCAGGAGGACAGAAAGAAGGGCACTGTCAGCATTGTCGAGAAGGAGGCCGCCGAAGTCAGCGTGATGGTCGTGCCCGGCGAAGACGACTCTGACGAGCGCGGCTTCTGCGTGGCGCTGGCGAGCGACTACGTCGACCACGACTCGGGCGGGCACCAGGTGGGCAACGTCGACCACGGGTCGAACGGGCACCAGGTGGGCTTCGACGGCTGCGAGAGCTTCGGAGACCAGCTGGAGGGCGAGTTCGCGTGCCACGCCTGCGACGACACGATCATCATGGCCATCGGCGGCGGGGCCAATCTTAAGGAGTGCGACGTTGACGACTTTCTGATGCTGGATGGTGGCGCTGACGAGCACTGCGCGCGACGAAGTTTTGCGAGGCATGGCGCAGTGGGGCCTGCATCGACCAAGCTGATCGCCGCCCAGAGGCAGAATCTCTCTCTTGATGGTGAGGCCATTGTTCCCTTCACGATGTGGGGCGAGGGGTGTGCAAGGCCAACTTCAAGGTTGGCCCTTTCGCTCGGAACCTACTCAGCACTGGCAGAGTCTATGATGCAGGTTTTGACGTGGTCTACTCGCACAACGACGGGTGCTGCGTTGGCTACTCCAAGCCTGACGGGAGGTATGTCAAGATCCCGATGGCACGGGGGAAGAACACGTTCGGGGCCCCTGCCAGCTTGCACAAGGACTTCGAGGACGCCAAGGAGGTGGCCAAGGAGACCAAGCGGTTGCAAGGCCGCTACCCCGACCAGCAGTCGGGCATCGTCGCCGCCAACGAGGACGCGGTGGTGAAGGACGAGGGGGCCGTCCAGGCTGACGAAGCTGCAGCGCCTGCGCCTATGGCAGAGGGTGCTGGGTCGGCTTCGTCGGAGTCTGGAGGTGGCGCCCCCGCCGCAGCCCCGCCGGCGGCAGCCAGTCCGCCTGGGGACCAGCCAGGGCCAGGGGCGGCCCCCCGCCCTGTGAGGGGCCCTGAAGGAGCAGCGCTTGAAGGAGCTTGGGGCCGCGATCTACGGCGCGAAGGGGCAGCTGTGGGCGAGGCTCGAGCATGCTGAGCTCAAGCGCAATCAGGACTTGGACTTCAAGAAGGCGGTCGAGGAGCGTTACCAGCAGCAAGTGGGCGGCCAGCCTGTGACAGAGGCCAAGGTCGTCGAGGCTCCCTACGCCCCAACGGAGGTTGAAGGAACAACACGAGGCTGCTGGTCACGCGGTGTTCAAGAAGTGGTGCCCTGCGTGTGTGTTCGGACTGGGGCCTGAGGACTTGCACATCAAGCAGCCCGTGTGCGGCAGCAATGCCAGAGAGGAGCTGATTGTCTTCGACTGGGCCTTCAACGGCACTAAGGACACGGGCGATCTCTGCGACGAGGCCGACAAGGGTCTCGGGGCATTTCTTGTGGCTGCTGACCGCAGCGCTGGTCTACTCTACGGCGACGCGCTGGGGGGCAAGGCCGCGGGCGATCACGCCGTGAAGCAGCTCATGAGGTTCATGAAGCAGCTCGCGTACCAGAAGCCAGAGCTCAGGTGCGACACTGGGCCCGCGGTGAAGGCTCTCCAGGACAAGGTCGTGAATGCGAGGGGCGAGGGAACCTGGCGGCCAGAGTTTCGCAGGGTCGCACGCGGGACAGCAAGTCGATGGGCTTCATCGAGACGCGGGTCCGCTGGTGGCGAGGCCGCTTGAAGGCCAACAGGGTGCAGGTGGAGATGAACTACGGTATCAAGCTCGCGCCGCACTCCCCGCTCTGGCCGTTCCTCGCCCACCACGCTGCGAACGTGATGAACTGGCGCTCGCGAGGTGCTGACGGTTACACGGCTCACTTCGCGGTCGACGTCGTGAACTACATTGGGGCAGTGGTTTCCTTTGCTGAGGCGGTGGTGGCAAGGGTTCCAGTCAGCAAGACGGGCCAGCGACGTTCGATGGGAGGTTTGGTTCCCAGGCGGACCAAGGCGGGCGCTGCCTGGGTCAAGGGGATCTGGGTCGGCAAGACGACCAACAACGACGAGCGCATCATCCTGGCGATTGCTGGCAAGGTGACCTGCAGGGCCGCCCGCAGGATGCCCAAGGGGAAGCGCCGCGACAGGGGGCTCCTCCTGAAGGTCTGCGGCGAGCCCTGGAGGGAGAAGCTCGCGCACATGCCTCGGTCCCTCGTCATGGGCGGCGGCAGGGGCGAGGTCGCGCCGACGCCGCTGGAGGTCGTGGGCGCGGAGGCCGAGGGGGCAGCTCCAGGAGCTCCCCCGTCTGGGGCAGAGGGCCAGGGGGGCCCAGTCCGTCCTGGTCCCGAGGGTCCTGAGTCGGGGGCGAACCCTCCTGATCCCCATGCCTTAGCTGAGCACCCGCCAGACCCTCGTCCTGAGGCCCCGGAGGCCCGGGCTCCTGAGGCCCCGCCGAGACTTGGCGGAGAGGCGGAAAATTTTGCAGGAGCTGGCGGAAGCTCGGGGAGTGGGCCAAGAGGCCCCGAGGGGGCTGGTGCCAGTGGTGAGCCAGACGCCCCGATGCCTGCTGCTGCGAGCTCCTCGGGTGCGGCAACTAGAGCGAGATCACCGAACAACGATGCCGTCCTGGGGTGGCACGAGGCCAAGAGGGGACGCTACGAGGACCCGATCGTCGGGGCCATCGAGGACATCAGCGAGACGCTGGACTACAAGGCGCTCCTGACGGCCAAGGAGCTCACGCACTGGGACAGCAGCGGCTTCCCCCAGGAGGAGGCGGCCGAGGCGCTCGACAAGGGCTTGAAGCTCTGCGATGAGTTCGGCATCTACTCAGTTCATCCTCGAGCGGCCGCCGACGGCAATAAGAAGGTTGATACCAAGTGGGAGAAGAAGGACCGTGCTGGGGTTCTTAATAAGTACAGGTTGGTGGGCAGGGAGTTTGCCTGGTTCGAGGAGCGTGATGATCTTTTCGCTCCTGGGGCGACGTCCCTGACCAGCCGCATCATTGACTTCCTCAGCCAGGAGGACGATGATGTTCCAGATGATCGGCTTGTGGTTGCGGTTGGCGACGTCTCGAGCGCGTGCTACCAGGTTCCTGAGAAGGAGGAGTTCTACTGCGACCCGCCACCGGAGTGGCTAGCTGCAAGGGCCAAGGCCGGCCTTAGCACGGACGTGGTCTGGAAGCTCGAGAAGCAGCTGCCTGGCAGGAGAGCTGCGAGCAGGGAGTGGGCCAGCTTCGCGGCTGAGCGCCTCCTGGAGTGCGGCTTCGAGCGCAACGAGGCCTGCCCGCATTTCTACCGCGAGCCGATGACGAGGCTGGGCCTGGAGCTGCACATGGGCGACTTCTACTGCACGGGCCGCAAGAGCGAGGTCGAGAACTGCCTCCCGATGATCAGGGCCAAGCTGAAGTTGAAAGACAGCGACGTCGTCGCCGAGGGCCGCTTTGGGTACCTCAAGCGGACGAGGATCAAGACGGACGAGGGCATCTTCGTGCAGCCGCGCGAGAAGCACGCCCTCGACGTCATCACGGAGCTAGGGCTGATGGGCGCGAATCCAGTCAAGACTCCAGACTTGGGATCGGAAGAGGTCCTGGAGCAATCCCCGCCGCTCGTCGACAGGCAGATCGCAAGGTACCTTTCGTGCGTGGGGAGTGGCCTCTACCTGGCACAAGATCGCACCGACATCCAGCGGGCCGTGGGGTTGCTGGCATCTGACCTGGCGGCGGCCGCGGAGCTCTCGTGGAAAAGGCTGCTTCGCCTTGGGCGCAACTTGGTCGGGGCGTCCGACCTGGGCGTGTTCACCCCGAAGGTTGATATGAGGATCTACAAGAAGGGCGCGGTCCACTTGAGGAGTTTCTCCGACAGCGACCACGGAGGCAAGGGGGCGAAGCGCAAGAGCACGACCTGTGGGGTTCTGCACGCTGATGGTGTGGCGTTGGCGACGCCGGTGAGGAGGCAGGATCTGATTGCAGTGAGTTCTGGAGAGAGCGAGTTCTACGCGCTGAGCACTGTGGCCATGGGCGGCAATATGCTCAGGGATGTGCTCACATGGTTCGGGTTTCGTGTCGAGTGGACCTTGGAGACGGACTCTTCAGCAGCTCGCGCGATGTCCTTGAGGCAGGGCGTCGGGGAGGTCCGCCACCTGGACGCGCGATCACTTTGGGTCCAGCAGGCTGCGCGCGCGCTTGGGCTGAAGGTGCTGAAGTGCAATGGCACCGAGAATCCCAGTGACATTGGGGCGAAGCCACGCACGTCCGAGGTTCATGAGCAGCTCTGCAAGCAAGTGGGACTACGCCGACTCAATGGAGATCTGGGAGCTGTTCGCGAGGTCGAGGTGAACGCTGTGATCGAGAAGCTGGGGCGGACAGCTTGTGGCACGCAGTGCGGTGGGAGGATTGCGAGCAGCCCGAGCCTCAACACAGCGATCCTGGCCTTGTGTATGGCCCTGCAAGCTCAACGAGGAGAAGGAGTTCAAGATGGAAGTGGTGCTGGAGGCGCCGACGATGACAGCCGCGACTTCATGATCGTGCCCGTGATGCTGCTGCTCAGCTGGGTGTTTACCTTTGTGCTGGGCTTCCTCACGGCAATTTGGGTGCTTTGAGGGCGCATAGCCCCTGCGCCACAGGCGCCCAGGGCGAGCTCCTCATCAGGGGGATAGCGGGACCCAGAGGTCATGGCGAAGATGATGAACGGGAGCTGGGTGTTCCACCTGCCTGAGACCTACAGGGTGGTGCACCAGAGCAGGCGATGCCGAGCTCTCGAAGGAGTTCTCTACGTGGAGCGGCGCCTGGTGGCGCGCCGCAGGTGCGAGGTGTGCTTCGCAAAGAAGCATGAGTGAGTGAGCCTTGAGCCTTCGCCCGAGCGGGCCCTCGCGGTCAGCGCGAGCTTGCCCGCTGCCAGAACCGCTTGCGGGTGTCCGCGAGCGGCGTGGGGTCGGAGAAGGGCCGACCGCATCCTTTTGAGGAGGAAGAGAGGAGTCCCCTGCGAGGGGGTGTAGAGATTCTTTGATATTTCAGGGGCCTCCTTCAGACCCGAGGTCCCTGGGTGCCCCACCAGCTGCTGCTGCTCCGCTGGTGTTCAGGCTCAGAGAGTTTCGAGCGCGGAGGCTCTCCCGCGCTCCTGAGGAGGAGAAAACAGTTTCTGAACCGTGCGTGTTGAGTCAAGGATTAGCACGGCCGCGCCGTCCTGTGATGCCTTGTGATGTCACTCCTTCGTGACCTCTGACATGAGGGCTTCGAACGTGACATCCACCGGCGGGACTCCTGGTCGCGAGCCTAACCTTTGTGCTGCAAATGGTGTTTCCGTGCTCTTCCTCCTCTTCTTCTTTCATTATTTTTCCTTTCGAATGATTTTCCTTGTCGCACCCCAAGGCCAGTTTTTAGGGCGGGCCGGGCGTTTCGCTTGAGACTTCCTCACCATTTATGACCCTGAAGCTTTCACATTGGCAATCGTTTCACAGATGGAGGGCGGGTCGTTCTGTGGCTTTCACCCGAGCGCCGCGCACATCCGTTTTCGAAAATTCGCAAGAGTTTCACTGGTTGAGGGCGGGCCGTTTCAAAATGTGGTCTCGCCCCAGCGCCGCGCACACTCGTTTTAAACATTTGCAAAGAGTTTCACGGACCGAGGGCGGGTGGTTTCAACATGCGGTTGTCGCCTTAGCGCCGCGCGCGTTCGTCGTTAAACGCTTTTTACGCCTCGCGCATCCCCACCAGCCCATTCAGGAGCCCTTCCCATGAGAGCTGCCTGGAAATGGGGAGAAGAGGCACATCTAGTGAAACGGAGAAGGAGAGGAGAGGACGGAAGGTGCTTAGCAATCGTATAGGATATTTTGGAGCATCGGAGGCCTTGTTGGAGCTACGGGGCTGTATTAGGGGATCTTGGGCTCCTCTTGGAGCTTTTTTGGGGCATCTTGGGGCCCTCTTTGAGCTCTTTGGGTGGTCTTGGGGTCCTCCTGGGGCTCTTTTGGGGCGCCTTGGGGCCCTCATGGGGCTCTTTTGCAGCTCTCTTGGAACTCTCTTGAGGCTCTGTTGGGGGCCTCTTGGGAGCCCTGGAGGGCCTCTTTGGCCGTCGTGGAGGGTTTCGGTGAAACGAGGGGGGGTCCGAACGTTTCGTTCCCCCTCAGGGCCCATTGAACTAGCCTCTGGGGGCGCTTTTGGGCGACTCTTGGGGCGCTTTTGGGCGGTCTTGGGGCCGTCTTGGGGGCATCTTGGGCCCCTCTTGGAGCTCCCTAAAGCCATCGATGGGGCCACCTTGACGCCTCAAAAACGCATCGGAAGCGAGAAGGCGAGAAGGCAAGCATTATTGATTTTCCTTGGGTTTTTGAATTGAAGGATGTTGGCTTCTCGGGGAGGTCCTGAGGGGTATCCAAAAGCACTTGGATCCGTGTTGTGGCCCTCTTCGGGCCTCTTGGAGGTATGTTGGTAGCTATCTTGAGGCCCTGTTGAGCTATCTTGAGCGACCTTGGAGGCGATCTTGGGCTCTCTGAGGCCCTCTTTGGGGCCCCCTTGGGCCAGAAAGGACTCCCTGACCGCTCGCGCCCCCCCACGTCCAGGTCCAGGGGAGGGGGTAGGGGTGAGGGTCACACCCCGCCCCGAAGGGGAAGAAGGAGTTGTTGCGGGACGGGGAAATGCTCACAACCACTGCTTCTTGTTTGCGCCGCCTTCCAGCCGGCCGAAGAAGAAGCTGTGGTTGTGGTCATCTGCCTGGTGCCGAGTTTAACGAAAGTGACCACAACCACTGCTTTGTTTCTGCTGGCTGGAAGGCGGCAACAAAAGAAGAGCAGTCTTTGTGGTCATTGTCCCGTCCCGTAGTTGTGAAGAGGAAAGAAAGGCCATCGTTGGGCCACCTGTCGCCCAGAGGGCCGGTGGGATCTGCGAGGGTTTCACGGATTCAGGGGGGGGATCGTTTTCAGCATGTGGTTCTCGCCTTGGCGCCGCGTACATTCTTTGTACAACTCTGCAAGGGTTTCACGGATCGAGGGGGGGTCGTTTTCAAGATGTGGTTCTCGCCTTAGCGCCGCGCACATTCTTTGTACAACTTTGCAAGGGTTTCACGGATTGGAGGGGGGGTCGTTTTCAAAAGGTGGTTCTCGCCTTCGCGCCGCGCACATTCTTTGTACAATTGTCGCAAGAGTTTCACGGATTGAGGGTGGGTCGTTTTCAAAATGCGGTTCTCGCCTCAGCGCCGCGCACATTCGTGGTAGACATGTGCAGGAGGTTCACGGATTGAGGGCGGTTCCTTTTCAAAATGTGGTTTTCGCTTTCGCGCCGCGCACATTCATAATTTGCACGAGTTTCATGGGTTCCCATGGTCAACGTACCAGAAATGGTGTTCGGGACGGATTCAGGATTATGAGAGTGCAACAGTTGCGTTGATTCGCGTTGTTGAAGTCCCAGGAATGGAGTTCTGGTGCGATTCAGGATCGTCTAGACGCAGCAGTCAGGTTGATCCGTGGCGCTGGAGTCCCGAGAACGGTGTTTTGGCATGTTTCAGGGTCTTCAAACGGTTGTCTTCCAACAAGGTAGTTCCCTCAGTCCCTCAGTTGAAATGAACAACAGTAGGGGCCTATGAAGAGGGAGCTTGGAGGAAGGGTTCATTCCAACATCGTTGATGACTCTTGGGTTTACACTGGTCCTCCTCTTCCTCCTCCTCCTCTTGCTCCTCCTCCTCCTCTTCCTTGAGCTCAGGAGCTGGCGCTGCGGGGGCGCTGGGGCTCGGCGTTGCGGGCTCGCTGGCGCTGGCGCTTGTCCGGCGCTCGCGCGGCGCGGGCGCCGCGAGCGACTCGGAGCCGTGCAGCGACACCGGCGCGGAGACGGACTCGTGCAGCGGCAGCGAGGGCCTTGGCGCCTGAGATCCCGCGCGCCGCGGCATTTTTCCAGCAGTCTTTTGGAGGAGGATGAGGATGAGGATGAGGATGAGGATGAGAATGAGGATGAGGATGAGGACGAGGATGAGGATGAGGATGAGGATGACGATGGTGATGATGATGATGATGATGATGATGATGATGATGATGATGATGCTGATGCTGATGATGATGCTGATGCTGATGCTGATGCTGATGCTGATGCTGCTGCTGCTGATGCTGATGCTGATGCTCATGCTCATGCTGATGCTGATGCTGATGCTGATGCTGATGCTGATGCTGATGCTGATTCTGATGATGATGATGCTGATGATGATGATGACGCTGATGATGACGATGATGATGATGATGCTGCTGATGATTATGATGATGATGAGATGATGAGGATGAGATGAGGATGAGGATGAGGATGAGGATGATGATGATGATGATGATGATGATGATGATGATGATGAGATGATGAGAGGAGGAGGAGGAGGAGGAGGAGGAGGAGGAGGAGGAGGAGAGGAGGAGGAGGAGGAGGAGGAGGAGGAGGAGGAGGAGCGACAAGGAGGATGAGGGAGGAGGAGGAGGAGGAGGAGGAGTGGAGTAGGTGGTGGTGGTGGTGGTGGTGGCTGCTCCGACAGTCGAAAACAGCAAGCTACATGTTCGCACATTTTCGAAGGTCCACGTTATGACTTCTCGGATCTGCGCTGGGCATATCCCGCGCGCCGCCTCATGTATTCTGGCAATCCTTTGGAGGAGGGGGAGGAGGAGGAGGAGGAGGAGGAGGAGGAGGAGGAGGAGGAGGAGGAGGAGGAGGAGGAGTTGGTGGTGGTGGTGGCTGCTCCGACAGTTGAACAATAATCTGCTGAATAGACAAGCATACACTTTCAAAGGTCCTCTGTCGGCCTGCCTGGATTTGAGCTGGGCCCCCCGGCGGCGTCTGGCGCCGCCCCCCCTGGCGCACTCCGCCCTCGAGGGAGGGGGCCCGGCGTCGATCCTGGAAACCCGTTTATGCCTATGCAGGTGTATCTTCTTCTATGCAGGACTGGCATCACCGCGGCGGGTGGTGCGTGGCGGTGGAGGGGGAGCAGATCTCCGCGAGTCGCGTACCCTCGTCCCCGTGCGTGCCGCCCCATGGGGTGCTGGAGCAGGGGTGGCGCCTTCCAAGAAGCCGCTCGTCTTCTTCCGACTCCTGGCAAGGCGCATGTCCTCTGAGAAGATCGGGTCCGACGAATGAGGGTGATGGGGAGATGGGGGTTTCGTACGACGTCTGCTGCATGCAGTTGGTTTCGGGGCTCCCCCGCTGGGCGCGTCTCTCGAGACGGTGGCGCCTCCGGCGCCACGAAAACCGGCTGCGGCAGCCGATTCGCGAACTCCCTCTTTGCCGCCCGAGAAGAGGCCTCGAATAAGGGGCCTCTAATCAGAGGCCTCTGCAGCGAAGAGGCTTTTTTTTAGCGGCCCTTTCTTCGCCTCTGTCAAGGGGTTTCTTTTTCACCTCTTCTTAGGGGCCTCTGCTTCGCCTCTTCTTAGAGGCCTCTTCTTAGAGGCTTCTTCTTCTTCTTCGCCTCTAAGCCGAGGCCTTTCTTCGCCTCTTTTTAGAGGCCTCTTTTTACAGGCCTCTGCTCGGGTCTGCCGCTATTTCTGCCACTCCCCTTTTCGTCCGACCCGAGAAGAGGCCTCCAAAGAAGGCGTCCTGCTGGCCTCGGTAGCTCTCCGCTTCTGCAGGAGGGAGCGTAAGACTCGAGCTAGCTGGAACTCGGGTTTGCCGCCGTGTTCTCACGGGGCCGTCCTGCATTTTGGCGGTCCAGTTCACGTGGGATGAGAAGGCGTCTTTCTGGTCTCGGCAGCTCCTCGCTGCTTCTTCAGAGGAGGACGTGAGGCTCGAGCCTGCTCTGGACCTTGGGTGTGCCGCCGTCTCTTGACGGGACCGTCCTGCGTTGCCGGGGAGCAGAAGCTGTCGATACCGCTGCCCTTCTTCGTGCTCGCCCTCTTGGGGCCTCCTGTGGGGGGGGGGCCGCGCCGTCGCCGCTGGGTTCGCCTCGACGTCCTGGTCGGAGCGCACCCTGGCAGAGGTCGCGGGAGGAGCGGTACAGTGGAGGCCCATGCCAAGAGACACCCTGCTTGCCTCCAGGGTGCCCTGGGTTTCCTGGGTTTCGATGGTTTGGCGATGGAAGGCGTGACGTGCCCACAGTAAAATCCGTGGACGTCTCGGGGGTCTCAGGGCTGGGTTCCTCGTGGAAGGTTTCTTGAGGATTGGCCTCCACTGTAGCGGTATCGGTATCTTTTGGTTTCCCCAGACTTTTGGCGGTCCGGTTTACGTGGGATGTTTGCAGCGGGAGCTCGCGTCAAGGTTCGGGGGTTGGGTCTCGCCGTTGTCTGCACGGCCGCGTCAGGCCAACCCGAGTTCCCCGAGCCCGGGCCTAACGTCTCCCCCCGATGTTTTTGTGTTTTTGCTTGTTTGTTTTGTTCTCCAGGACGGCTCGGAGCCGCCCGGGACGGCGTTCCCGAGCCCCCCTCCTCCCTAGGCAGAGCTCGGCACCAGCCGCAGCCTCCCCACCTGGCGGCGGGGCCAAAGTTGTGGTGCTTGTCATGCGTCTCGGCGTAGATCGAAAAAGAAACAACGCCGTAAACATAAACTTTTGGCGCTCCGCGCGATTTCTCGGATCCGCGCTGGGCCCCCCCCCCGGCGGCGCCTCCGGCGCCCTCCTCCTTCATCTCCTCTTCCTCCTCCTCCTCCTCCTCCTCCTCCTCCTCGCCCTCCTCTCCTCGGGTCGCCTACGGCCCCGGGGGAAACCGTCCAGTCGGACCGAGGCATCAGATCGAGATCGGCTCGGGGAGGGTTTGGTAGGTTCGTGTCGTGTCTACCGGCGGCGACCCCGCCAGCGGCGTTCGGCTTTGAGCGCCGCGGGCGACCCAGAATCGTTCGATGTGGAACGATTTGGACGATTCGGAAACGGCCGATCCTTCAAGGTCGAACGATTCCCATGGTGTCAGAAACCAACGCCGAAGTCGGCACGACACGAACCTGACTTGCCCTGGTGTTCTTCGTGCTTGCTGGACGCTCTTATTCATCCGGGGAGTCAGGGGGGGGCACTCAAACGCTCCCCATTTCGGCGGGCGGATGGGGGTTTCATGTTTATGAGGGGTGTTCTTCTGGCCTGCAGTGGAGAAGCCCATGACAAGAAACACCATGCTTGCCTCCAGGGTGCCCTGGGTTTCTTGGGTTTCGATGGCCTTGCTATGGAAAGCGTGAGGTTCCCGCACCAAAAATCCATGGACGCTCTGGGGTCTCAGGGCTGGGTTTCTTGTGGAAGGTTTCTTGTGGTCGAGCTCCCCCTGCAGGGCCGACTGCACCTCCGCGTCTTGACTGCAGCCTGCCCGAGGGCCGCTTCTCCTCCGCCTCGGCCTGCGGCGCCGCCGGCAGCCGCGCCCGAGAACTTTTTTTCTGAGGGCCACCGAGCGCGCTGCACTACCCTCAAATGTGCCTGCTCGCAAACGTCCGACAAGCACCTGTCCGCTTTGAATGGTCGATCGGACCATAGGGGGATGCACACACACACACACACCACGGTTCAATGTCTCCGCATTGGCTCCGAGATGTCATCGATTGTCATCGGCACCGTCGTCGGTCCGAGGGGGCAACAACAAACAAAACAATATCGCAGATCCTCCGCGGGGGATCCGGGCCGCTCGCGAGCAGCTCCCTCTGCGAGTCGTGGAGCGCGCTCGTCCAGAGGGGGCGGGCCGCCGGCCGAGGCAGAGGGGGCCCCTCGCGCGCGCGTCGGGCGGGTGGCACACCCTCGGGCGCTGCTTGCGAGGCCCCCCCCCTCCGTGCCCCGAGATCCGACGCTGCGAACAAGTTTCAGGAGGGGAAAAAGCACAGACACAATTGATCGTCGACTCCCAGGAAGATATGGGAAAATATGGGGAGTGGGGGGGAAGAAGAAAACCCAGGAAATATGGGGAAATATGGGGAATCCTGTTATTCCCTACCTGGCTCTGCCTAGAAGGGTTCTTACTTTCTTTGCTTAAAGGGGCCGGGCAGTGGAAAGCGCCCCGGGCGGTTCCCCCGGTCCCCTGGGAGCCAAGGAAAAGCAACAGCAAAGGTAAAAGCAAACGCGCGGTTCCCCCAGTTGCGCTCCCTGGGTGCCAAGCAAAAGCAAAAGCAAAGGCAACAGTGAAGGCAAAAGCGAAGGCAAATCAAAAGCATAGCATAGCATAGCATAGCAGAGCATAGTAGAGCATACCATAGCATAGCATAGCGCAGCATAGCATGGCGCAGTATAGCATAACGTAGCATAGCCTAGCCTAGCCCAGCATAGCATTGCGCATCATAGCATAGCATAGCATAGCATAGCATAGCATAGCATATCATATCATATCATAGCATAGTATAGCATAGCATAGCGCAGCACAGCATCCACTATTGCTGCTGCTGCTATATATATATGTGTGTGTGTGTGTGCGCACGTATGTTCCATGCATGTTGCTTTCCTAGAGGCTCCAACTCCTAGGTAGGGTCGCACTGGGATAATTTGTGTCTATTTATTTGTGTGTCCCAGGGCCCCTTCAAAAATGGCGACATCGCGAACAGATCACGACCGGAGCCCCGCACGCCATCTTCCTGCCGCACTTTTCGAGTCGGCTCGATCTCTGACGGCCCGGGGTCCCCCAGCGTGAGAACGCCACGGCGTCGGGATCTCAGGGCGGCTCGTCCAACTCGGGCGGGCGCCAGGGGGGGTGACCTAAATGGTCTGGACGCCCGAAAGGGGTACGGAAAGAATGGGTACAATGCCCAGCAGCAGTTCCTGTTCATTTTGAACAGGACTCGCTGTCCACCTGTCCATTCGAGACAGAAGGCCGCCTGCCCAACAGCAGCCGCTGTTGGTTTGGGACAACATTTGTTGTTGGGCATTGTACCCATTCTTTCCGTACCCAGTTCGGGCGTCCAAAGATGGGAGGGTGAAGAAACAGGCCGTGAGACGACCCCATCAGGGCTCCCTCTGGAGCCAGCAGGGGTCCCAAGTGGGGCCCAAAGGTTATGATGTTCCAAATGGGGCCCAAATGGGGCCCAAATAGGGCCCAAATGGGGCCAAAATGGGGCCCTACTTTAGCCTTGACCACCAAAATGAA